TCAGTCGTGTCTTTGAGGAAAGATATATAACATTACGAGTATGGAAAGTGATATTTTTCACACGAGTGGGAAATATTGTCGCACGAGGCAAAAGCCGAATGCGAAAATCGCACGAGTATGAAAAATCACTTTTACACAAGTGACGTACGACCATAAAATAATTTCATCAAGAACATGTAAAACTAGGAAATCTGACTATAGAGGTTCAATCAAGATGTGGCTGCTTCCAGATTTGTTATGATATCCCTTATTATAGTATTTTTAATACAAATCCCGATGCACGTCAGAGATCATTTATGACGTCACGGCCTTGCAGTGTCTAATAGACAGAATATTTGAGGAATTTAGAATTTTTTGAAATTGTAAGGTTATATATTTGTTATGTTACTAGTAGGAACAATTAGTTTTAAATGTATATAACTAATGGAAAATATTGAATTCTTCTATGAATAATAAATATCTGAAGAAAAAAAGCTGTAAACATATTATGCAACTCATGGAAAATAAAACTGTAACGTAGTATATTGCAAAAGTTCAATGGGGTTAAAAACACAATGGCAGGGAAGATTACGTAATACTTTGTCTATATTGTTCTACCATATATTTCTTTGGCGGTTTGTACCTGAAAAAATAATGTTTTATTTATTTCTAATTGCTATTTTGTATAACGTGTGTCAATTTCGTTATATTCTAAATTGTAATATTTAATGTAAGGTACACCGTTATTTCATATCTTGTAACTTCATTTTTAATTTTTTGATATTGTTTTAAAGTTTATTTCTGAAAAAAAAAAGCATTTTTGGTTTTTACTGTACATCTTGAAAATGTGTAAAGCATGTAGATTTTATTGACCACTGTAATCAAATTTTTCCAATTTAATTGTCTTCATATGATTGCTAGAATTTACACAATTACTGATACCTTTATTTACTTCAAATTTGGCGACTTACCTCTTGCCATCGATTTTTATAGGTCTTACACCCTTTGTCATTATTTTGCCAGAAGCTGTTTAATGTTTCATTTTGAACGTACATGTTTCACTAATGACAACGAACTGCTTCATTTGTAATACCAAAGAATACCTATTCTTTGGTAATACTATAATTTCTTAAAAATTGAACTATTTACAGCGTCTTGATTATCTTTTTTCCTTCATTCTTTTAATACAGTTCACACACAATGATGCAATATACCTATTAAACATTTGTCTCTCAATCAATTTTTCTCTCAAAGGTTCCAAAGTTATACGTTGGCCTGCAAATAAGTATGTATTTATATTACTGTAGATAGGTATACAAATTGAAACTTTTATAGGTAATTGTATTAGTAATCCTTTGTTTATATGAATGCTTTTTAATTAACGATTTTAATCATTCATTATTCTTGACTGCTTGCGAAATACTACTGACAGTAGAAATATTTTTATTTAGAGGCGCTGCAACACACTAAAAAAGACAAGAAAGCAATTTCATATTTCTATTAATTTTTATAACTTGTAACTTACCTCTCTTATAGCAGTTAAAGGTAAACGTGGTCCATCATTATCACGCTCTCGTTCAAAATAGTGGATTAAAGACGCTTTCAACTCCTTGTAAGGACTATTTAGTTTTTTTAGGCATTTTGTATATAAAAAATAAACACACTATGGTTGTTTTGAAAAACAGTTTTTTATAAGTATAACTAGCAAAGCTTAAAAATACAGGCAAAAGGATTTTAAATTACAGAAAACAAAATACACAATCAATAATCAACGCCACATAAACATAACCTAACTTAATCAGTGAAATTTGTTAAAAAGGGGTTGCAATACCGCAACAAGGTGTACCAATTGCTGTTATGATATTTCTTCTCTATAAATACGAGCTTCATGGGCGTACAGAATGTCAAAATAATTTAATATAAAATATTATTTTTTGAGTACTAAACGTTTAATAATGTTATTTTAAATTTTATATTATAAAAGAATTAGACATGTATTAAATAAATAATTTAAATAATTCTAAAATTATCAAAATATTCACTATAACATTTTTCGATTTTTTAGTAATCAGACTACGTTCATGAATGCTCGTGACTATTCGTGACTTTTTCGGATTATTAGCTTAGTTAGGGAAATTTTAATTAGTTGATAGTACTATGACGAAGGACTAACGTCATTGATGACGTGCATCGGAATGAGAAGCTGAAGCTAGCGGCCAGAGCACGCAGCGGCCGGGGCAAAACCAGGGCCGTAACGAGCGTTCAGCGCCCCGTCTCTAAAAAATTTATGAATTAATAAATAATGGAGGTTGCAAATAAAGTCCTTAGAGAAGAGGAAACATTTGGACCCAATGGGCAGCAAGAAACAGTAGGCCCAAAATAAATAAAAATACAAATAATAGTAATTCTGGCTCCGATAAAATTGTTCGGTATCAGTTTTGATTCAACTCTGGAACTCAGAAGATCTAGGTGCCTCTTAGGGCCCTAAGGAATTTTTTTGAAAAGGGTTAAGCCCGTAGACAATGACATTAGGTCCAGTCTACGGTCTTAACTCTTTCCAAAAAATTCTTCAAGTCCCTCAGAGGCACTTGAACCTCTTGAAACCTCGACTTCGGTCGGAACAGACACCGAAGAATTTTTTTTGAGCGAAAATTCTAAAAATTCGGAAGCTTTATGACATTGGGCCCAGTCTATGGGCTTAACCCTTTCCAAAAAAGTTTGTCAAATCCCTCAGAGGCACTTAAACCTCTTGAGACCCGGACTTGGGTTGGAATTGACACCAAAGAATTTTTTTTGAGCGAAAAATCTCAAAATTCCGAGTTTTGATGACGTTGGACCCAGTCTACGGGTATAACCCTTCTCAAAAAAATTCTCTAGGTCCCTTAGAGGCACTTGAACCTCTTAAGACCCGGACTTGGGTCGGAACTGACACCAAAGAATTTTTTTTGACCGAGAAATCTCAAAATTCGGAGTTTTGATGACATTGGGCCCAGTCTATTAGCCTTTAATTTCAGTTTAGGTTCAGTCCCTTTGCTCTGCATGATTTTTGTTTGTAAAAATTGTGTTTACAAACAGCAACTCTATAGCTTGATATAGGCATGCTAAAATTTCCAGGGTATAAACAAAATGAGGTCTGAGTTCGACTGGAGGCCGTACTCTAACCCAAAATGTTTAAAATAAACAATTCACACAATACAATTTATCTTTATTATTCAAATAAATGGTAATTCATTCATCTTATTTACCAGCATTTTAGGCGTCTAATATATAGCGTTAATTCGGATGGAAAATTTTCAGTAATTTAAGTACGGGTCCTAACTCTCTCATACTCACAAATATGTCTCACTTGCGCTATCATAAGTAAATATAAAATAGATCGTTAGAAACAAGCGCATAGGCGCAAGAACAAATACGCTATCTTTGTCTGCATCAATCACGCAAAACTATAATGCGATTCTTACTCAGCCAATCACGACGAGACACGTAGTTGCTAGCCATTTTATACTTTTACTCGACAAAAAAAAAGACTTGAAACTTATTCCGACATCTTTGTTTTATTCCTCTTTATTTTAAACAAACAAGAGATGTATTAAACCTGTTTATTATCAGGCATAGAGTTTTAGAAACTATATATTATGTTAATCAAATTGTTAGCTGAAGAACATATTTAATTTCATCATTACCAAATAAGTGTCTGTCAATTCCTCAACAAGAATCACATATTTCTACAAGCTACAAGTTTCACTACAGTCCAACCGCTCCCAGCTGATGGGAAGGAACCTCATTTCTTTGACGAAGACTTAAAAAGAAAAAGAAATCGACGTCCCATTAAACAACCTCTTTTCTATATTATATTCTACCCCTCCTAGGGGGTTTGAACCATGAGTGCTAAAAATCTTAATTGAAAGTGTTCCCCATGAAAATTGGTATGTCTTTGCCATTTTAATATTATTTACTGGAAGGAAAAAAGGTGAGAAGTTTTCAAATTGACACCCTGCATATTTGCAGCCACTCGGAGATCTTTGCCTAAATTACTGTCTATTTAACTTAAACTCAAGTTCCGCGTAAACAAAATAGTCCCTAGACCACAACACATTCAGCTAGAGGGTAGGGGTAGGGAAACGTTTAAAACCGAATCACTGGGCTGGCCAATAGCAGTAAGGCTTGTGCGTATCATGCTGTGGTCAAGGAGCTATTTTGGTTACGCGGAATAGAACAGCGAGAATAGTCCTCATGTGACCAGCCCAGAGTATCAACTGCTGAGTGGACTGGGTACAGACGGAGTGATAGAGAGTCGGAGCATAGAAGATATGAAAGAATTAAATCAATTTATTATTTAAAAAAAAAATTATAATATTTTTGATCTCTAAACAACATATGAATAAAAAATATTTGAATTCCTAATATATGTATGTAGGATGTAGAAGTCTACAAAATTTCATCTTAGCCCTGTACCCTTCAAATGTTTTACAATTTGATTTTCTGAATAATAGTATTACCATTGAACACAATTTATATATCTGTAGCCACTCACATATTGGCCTTAAATTAGTTCAAACTTTATCAATATTTATCTATTTGTATAAATGAAATTGCCTAGAACACCTAGGCTACCATCTCTGTACGAAGAAAGGACAAGCTCCCCAGATCTTTCTTAATAACCTATCGAAAATTTCAGCGAAATTGATTTAATATCTGTCCAAAACCAAATGAGGAACACTAAGCGAAAGTGGCAAGATTACATTTAATGGCCCATTAGCAATTTTAACGTACCATTTTAATGTTGAGAAATATTGTTGTTTTAGTGGTTAGATTTTAAATACATTATTGCAATTTTTTTTTGGTCTTGTTAAAAATTCTCCAATTTTACATTATGCGTTAAGTGATACTACTGGATTAAGACATGATTTATACAAAGCATGTTTTTTTTTCAATTAGGTACATATTAGGTCGACAGTATTTTCAAATAAATCTAAAATATGTATAAAACAGGATTTTTATTCTAAATCATTAATATGAGGTAGAAAAATAAAACTACAAAATATAATTTACAGTTTAAACAGAATTACATTCTTTCTTCCACTGATGTACATCAACAGTTATATAGGTCAGATTCTTTTGAAATTGCTCGTAGTCGCAGTTCAAACAACAATCCATTTGTTCCAACTTATCTTCCCATTTGTAAAATAAATTCAAATAATATCTATCATTTTGTTGACTCAATTCCCATATGACGGTATCGCCAAAACCAACCGGTGTATTTTTATAACATCCGATACTGTCTAAAATGGGCACCATCGAAGTGTCCTGAGCTGACATCATTAGAAATTTGGCAGGGCGTATTTCGAAAGTTGGTTTGACAAATTTGTTGAAATGATTAAAAATAAAATCATAAAAAGGACCTACTTGCAGTCTGGTAAGTTCTAGAGTTGTTGTTGGAATTGCATATTTAATACCTGCAAAAAAATAATTTAATGTATAAAGGATATCATAAAAAAAGATCTGCTTTTGCATATATACACACACACCTTTCTAAAGCATGTCGTAACAAACTGTTACAGGAGCTCTATTCGTATGGTATAAGAGGAAATACTTAGTCTATAAAAAAGTTACTTGAATCGTTTCAATAATAGTATTATCGAAAAAAAAAATGTTCATGATGTTCCTCAAGGAACAGTCTTATGTCCCATCCTATTTACTTTATATATTAACAGCTTTTTAAAAATGAAAACGAGATGAGGAGTACAATTGGTTTTGCCGATGACAGTGCTATTTCATACAAAGATCAATCATGGCAATTACTAAAATAAAACGCAGAGAAAGATAAATGTTTCTGGCTTAACAACATTTGGTATATTAATTATCGATAAAGACAACGAAATTCCAGAAGCAAATTCCATCAGATATCTCGGAATTAATTATTGTAGGTAAACACCTAATATATGGGTCATGCACATAAAGAATTGAACGAATAAAATCAGAAACATTTGTATTTTATTATGTTCTTGAATTCCACGTGAAAACCTGGGTAAATTTTTTTAGATGGCTCCTATCTTGTGCTTTAAGGGGTGATAAAATTTACGATGATGGGACTATGTGAATATACTCCTCAAAATAAATAAAATGACACGTGTTTCATTAATTTTAAAAATTCAGCTACTATAAGAGGGTTAATGGGGCAACGTTTGTATGTAGATTTTGAAGATACAGCATTAAAACTTATTTGTATACCATTCGAAAGTAGTAATACAAAAATACGTCTTGACTACTGCTTTAAGGGTTGCTGTATCAAAAGTAAATTATATCTTAATTTTCGCGGATATACCTGAAAAAATATAAAACACACGTAGAAACTGACGAAGTTTGTATTTACAACAGAGAATTTCTGGAGGATGATGTCAGAAAGTTAAAATTAGGTGGGGTATAGAAAAGTGTATTAATGTAAAAGTAGTTGTGTGGGATGTTTCTGTTTTTGAAAGATTATTGAAAATTATTGAATGTCAGCGGAATAATAGATTGTCAGATAAATTTTAAAAAGTCAAAGGACTATTTGTTAGAATTGTTGAAGTTTAGATTGATGTCATGATAAATTGGTAATATGTTAATATTGGTGATGTAATTTGGAAGATAAAATAAAGGGAAAAAATGCAGTTTAGAGTGAAACCACATTTAAAAAAAAAGTCCCACATAAATGAAAAAAAAAATAGTTCATTAAAAATTATTCAAACAAGAGTAAACAATTAATTTCTGGGAGACTTTTTTTCCTTAAAAATTCAAATAAATCGAAAACTAATAATAATAGTAATAGGGAACCTTTAGTTAACTGACATTATTTTTGATGTAGTTTTTAATTATAAAATAAAAAAACAGGGTGTTCCATTAAAAATAATATAACTTTGTATATTTTTTCTTGTGTGGGACATCCTGTATACATCTAACAAATTTTAAATTGTAGCCGTCTGTAACCTACGTATTCCTCCCAAACGAATTTTTTATATCTTTGGTCGTTTTCCCATAAAGCTCCGTCCCGTTGAGCGTGAGCCACCCTGTATAATATAAAAAAAAAAAAATTTTAAAAAAATTAAAAAAAAATTACCTATCACCTAACCTAAACTACAAGCTTCCAATGACATATACTTCCACATAAACTAAAAACTACATTTTTACCAAATAAAGGAATATTATGGTAATTGAAGGATTTTATTTTTTAAATTAAATATTGAAGGCAGAGGTAAGCAGAGACAGTAGACAAAAGCATATAGGTAGAGAAAAGCATACAGGTAGAGACAAGCAAACAAGTAGAAACAAGCAGACGGGTAGTAGAGGTGACAGAGACAGGCAAAGACGGTAGAGACAGACATATTTGAACAATGAACAAGCATATGAAGAAAACAAGAAAATATATTTTTTTTTATTTTTGTAATTAATTTAATATACTATTTTAGGACCATAGGGGAGAGCGGGGCAAGACGGGGTATTTAAGGTTTGATTGATAATATTTCATACAGGATAAGTTCAATAAATTTACAAAATTAGGAAACACATTGTTATATATTTGTTTATTATGTATTAAAATTAAAAAAACATAGAATAAAAAATGAAAGAGTAAAAAAAGTTGAAACAGGGGCATGTCAAAAACTTCATCTTGCCCCACATGTGGGGTAAGATGGGAAATGATGCGGGGCAAGATGGTATCTATTCACATAGGGAACAAATATGGGTCACTTCATCATCCTCATCCTCTTCGCCCGCACAGGAACAATGGGCCCATCTGTGACATCTGATACAAAGGATCCACCCTTCGGTCGATTCAGAGTAAAGATGGCCACAGTACAAACACTCTGCATCAGAAGATTCAGAGGATGATACTGATGATGTTGATGGCCTTTTTTTGATCCCAGTCTTTTTCGGTTTAAAATTTTCTTTAGAACCAATTGTTTTTTTTTGTATTTTCTTGCCCTTCGCATTATTTTTGTTTTCTAATTTTCTCTTAACATTTTCTTTCTTCTGTAGCTCTTTATTTTGTCTCTCAGCAATTTCCTTTTCTAGTTCCTGTTTATACGGCGATTCCGTTAAAACAGCGGTCTTGCCTTTTTTCGGGTAACCCTAGGAGTCGTTTGCTTGCAGGAAGGAACCGGCATAATATCTTCAGGTGTGCAAGGTAAATGCGAAAGATTAGTTTGTTTTGGAGTTATAAATTTGAAGGAAGTAGTAAATCTTGAAAGTCTATTTTAAAAGTGTAATTAGACGAACAGGAAGCCTGGATACTTGGGGCATCAGAACTAACTATTGGTTGATATGTAGGTGTAGAAGGGCGCGGAGGAATAACCGGATTCGACAAATTCGTGGAAAGTTCAGACGTATTCATTTGACTATCAGGTATGGAGTTATTAGGAAGAACAATTTCTGTGGTCTGTGATGGAGCGAAATCTGCTTCTCCAAAAACATTTCTATTAAGTGGCCATACTCCAGTCTGACGAAATCCATTAATTGCCGTAAGCATTGTAGCTCCTCGCAAGAAAGCATTTCCGAACAAGCTTGCAATTTGATACTGCGAAACAACCCGTCCTGGGTTTGTTCTCAGCCACTGAGATATTTCTGTATCATAGAAAACACTCACAGGCCGCATAAATGAAACGTCCAGTGGCTGCAAACGATGTGAACAATGTGGATGGAAACATAATAAAATGACACCATTTTCTCGTGCGTAGTTGATCAACTCTATATTTTTTGTATGAGTGGAGTGGCCATCTAGTAGCAGAAGTACAGGTGACGTTTTTGAAGCTTTGCTAAATTGAACGAACTTTTTAAACCATGCAAAAAATATCTCTTTTTGCATCCATCCACTTGGGTGAGTCTTAGCCCATGCACCAGGAGAACAGCCATTCAATAACTCTGGATTCATTTTAGAACGTAGGAAAATAAACATTGGTGGCATGTAGGTACCTGCAGCGTTAAAACATATCTCAATTGTGATAGTTTTACCTCTCTCAGCAGAAGTCAGTGCTCCAACTTGCTTTCTTCCTTTTAACGAAATAATTTTTGACTTAGTTTTGGGAACAACTGATACGCCAGTTTCATCGCAGTTGTATATTCTTTCTGGAGTTAATTTATATTTATCTACTAATCGAGTTAGAAGATCAAAAAAAATGTTAACAACTGTAGGATTAAATCCTGCTGCTCTTGCAGCACTGGTAGCCTCAGGTTTTCTTAGAGATATCCTAGGATTGCGACGCATAAAACCTGAGAGCCAATCTTTCCCTGCAGTTCGTTTTTCAGTTGCGAATACATGGGCTTTATTGAGCCTTTCAGCCCACTGGAAAGCTAATACTCGTAGGTCGTAAGGAGTAAGGCCAAACAATCTCTCCTCCATTTTTAAGAGAAATTTTACTAGCAAATTTTCCTCTTCTGAACTAAAAACTGGCTTTTTTGGACCTAAACTGGGTTTAAGTTGCTCAGTTCCAATATCTGGATTTTCTCTAGCTATTTTAACTTTTCTCTCCAAAGTTGATTGAGGCACACCGTACGATTCAGCTGCCCTTTTATATCCCATTTCCTCATTCTACACAGCTGTAACGGCATGTTCCATCCCTTCAACAGACCAATTTCCACGGTCAGACTTTCGTTAATACTTTCTCACCATGATCTTAAAAAGAAAATAATTATAAATATAATTTTACCCTGGCAATTTAAACAACAAGTATATATATACCAAGTAGTACCCCTTTTTGCCCCTCAAAAACAAAACCATCTTGCCCCTTCGCGCCATTTTGCAAAAATTTCTAATTACTGCGATTCTGGTTTATAAAAAATAAAAACTAATTATACGTAACTAACTGCAAATACATTCCACATACACCAGTAAATATTTAAAAAATGTAAAAATAATGTCTACTTACTTATCACAGTTTAAACTTGACCACTATAAAAATGTAACGTATGAAATCACAAATTATTTGGAGATAACTTTACACAACTGCTTCGTCGCAATTCCACGGCATACTAAACTTTCAACCCGTGGTTACAGACCTTGACAGCGCATTTTGTTGTTGTTTTCCGTTCGATCGACTGCCCCCACTCGCTACAATTAGTGGTACCCCATCTTACCTCACTACCCCCGTCTTGCCCCGCTCTCCCCTATATACTGTTTCAAAAATAATTAAACGTGTTTTTTATTAAATAAGCAATAAAATATAATAAATGAAGAAAAATAATTATGAAACGTTCACATTTCGTGGTTTTTCTTATAATTAAAAAAAAAATAATTTTGAGAAGCATTTTTGTGAATTCACGTATTTCTGATTTATGCCGGTTTAGCACAACAAACATGTGTGAGCTGATCATTGCGTTTACACAATGACTCTTATCTTTTCTTTGTTGGCCATAGCTATGAGCGGAAAAAAATTTGCTGTTCACACGTTACATAGAAACATCTACATACCTGCTAAATGTTCCAGTAGCTCCAGGTCAACTTCTTTATACCAGTCTGGCAAATATGAAGTATTATAATTTAAATAACAATAAAAAACACTTCTAACCATACTGATATCACTTATATCAGCATTCGTCCATCCTGTTTTCTTAAGAATGAATTCAAAAAAGCTACTATATTTATTTTTTAAAAATGACGTTTCAGTTTCTTTGGCTTGGAGATACAACTGGTGATATTTCGGGCAGTAACGATTATTGGTAAAAATTTGATCCGTGTCGACAGTTGTAGTATGGACAGGGACGGGTTGCCACGATAGGTGGTCGTTCCAGATTTGGTGCCCTTTCGGAGGATACATGCCAGCCAAACTGGCTGTAATTGACATTAGACACCTGTCAAAGTCTGGAGCATACGCATATATTTCTTTACGGGAGTATATGTCGCTTAAAAAGTGATTATAACGTTCTCGTAACCACTGTCCCAATTTGTAGAGGCGTTTTATTCCATACTAAAAATATAAAAATAAAAATAAAATACGTAAAAAAGTATGTCAGAAAATGCGTAATAACGATGGTACGGCTAATTGAATGAAGTTTTTATCAAATATAAAAATTTTAAGAAATTATTTAGATTTAGAGAATTAAATTACATCATGCAAATACACGTCGAATTTTTAAGAATTTATATGACTAAATGAGTAAATTTCGTTATTTTTTTTTTTTTTAGAGGCACAGTTTATTATCAAAATATTTATCAGAATATAATTGTATGTTTTACCTCTGTCATCTGCCCTCCCAAACCGTTGGGCCAATAAGATTCATTGAAGAATTTGTCATTTGGAAAACTTCTAAATGGAGATCTATCCCCATGTCTGGAAATCTAACAAAAAAATACATTGCAATTTACTATAATATAAATATTTTACATATTAAAGTTTTACTTTTGACTATTTCCGCAGGACAGTTCAATTCAGAATAAATAATATATTACATTTGATTAATATTTTCCGAAAATGCAAAAAAAGATGTTTTCGTCTGATCGACTGTGCGTATTAATAAAATGTCTTTAACTCCACGAGAAGTAAAAGAATCTGCTGAAATTGCATCGCGGAATGTATTGTCACAAAAATTAAAAAAATTCGTCAGAGAAAAACCATAAAATTGTATTCGGAATCTGTTATATTGGTGTATTTTACAGAACTATCCATAAAATATAAATTCTCAACACTAACGGACCCATTATTCAATGCTTAAAAGTACTATCCAATATACATCAAGGAATAAATATAGAAAATTTTACGAAAGCTTCAGCGTTATTAAAGCCAAAAAGTATTTAACCAAAAAATAGTACATTACACACCGAGGTGGGAAGAGTTTCATTCCTGTCGTGAGATTAGTTAGATCACCGAGACGCGAAGCGTCGAGGTTAGCTATGATCTCGAGACAGGAATGAAACTTCCTACCGAGGTTTGTATACTATTTTATTTACAACCATCATATTTCGATCAAAGTCTCTGTTTTGTTCTGAACATACCTAAAATATTACATTTAACGACAAATTACCAAGCGCGCGGTTTTCTCAGAATAATCAAGTAGGTAAATATATTGTTACTGTGATTACGGGGTAAACAACTGTCACCAATATAAATAAATGTCAGATAAAGCCGGATATTAAATTCGCGAATAATAAATATCAATAAGTAGTTTGTTATATTTTAGATCATTGTTGTTTTTTATTGTTTGCCATTAAATAGGTATTATAAAATTTGTCAAACACTGTGTTATTTTTTTTTTAATATAAAAAATATTCATCTAGAATAGATGAAATGAGGGCGGGAAGTGAGGGCGGCAAGTAGAGGTGTGTAATGTGACACTTCCCAACCTTCAATGACGTTAGTAATGACAACATTACATATATGGTTGTAAATAAAAGCTATTACTAGGTTCATCTTACAATTAGGTATTTATATTTTTATGTTGCATTAATAATGGGAATAATGGGACTACTGAGATGTATTGCATGAAAATTAGTGATTTACAAGACCTTGGGGATCAACTTTTTAAGCAAGCGTCAGCCGAAAAAAGTCTATTGAATAAGGTTTTTCTTCATATATTACAATTATGTATTTATTTTTAAAGTCTTTAATAATGGGAATAATGGACGCTTGTCGGGCTTATGAGGTGTATTGCATAAAAATTAGTGATTTACAAGACCCTGGTTCAGCTTTTATAGTAAATTTGCCGAAAACCAAGACAAAAATAACTCTAAAATTTATAATTACCGATAGTTTTTAAAAAAAATATGTAAAAAATCCATCAGTAGTCGTCCATCACTACTATTTTTAAACTATCAGAACGGTAAATGCACTAGCCAAAGAATTGGTATTAATAAATTTACCAAAATGAGGAATGATATTTTTGAAAACATTTTAAGTGGCAATGGGTGCAAATATTTTTACATTGACAAAGAAAACAAATATTTTTACATGAGCAGGCTAAAGGGGGATTAACGGATCATATAATTTTACATAGACACTTTTAAAAGGAACCAAACATTTTTAGATAAATAGGCTTAAGAAGTAAAAAGCTCAAATATTTTACAGGCTTAGGAGGCAAAGGGGCCAATTATTATTAGATAAATTGTCCGAACAAATTGTAAACCCTAATCAAAAGGCCAAATGGAATGGTTTTAAAACGCAATACTTGTGACAATCATCATGTGGTTTAACATAAGTAATGGTAATGCTTCACAAACCTAAACATTCACTATCTTTATACTATTATCGGCTTTCGGTCTTTCGATCCAAATCAAATCATTTCTCGTTTTCTTACGCTACGAGTTTACCCTTGTAAGCCTAAGTCTCGATAAGATGGGAACCACAAACTCAGCGTCTCTCGAATCAGATGTTAGATTTGTTAAGGACTTACTTTATCATTGTTTTCTTAGTTATTACAAAATATAATTTAATTTTGCATCGATTTTCATTTATTCTGTTTAAAAATATTTGTAACAAAACATTTCTGGCCCGGATAAAGCTAAGTATGTATTATTGTTTAGTTCCTAATGGGCCATGTTGAGATGTGAGATATGCTGCTTTATAAATAATATTGTAACAGTTAGTCACTGTACAAGTTATTATAAATAATCAGTTTGTTAAAAAGCCAATAATTTTTAAAGTAAAACCATTTATAATTTAAAGTTTGAAATATGTACGTCATCGGGAATAGAATAATCAGCTTGTGTCAAAGTTTTGTTTGTTATACAGAACCAAGCCAAGGAACAAATGGACACATAGAATGTCGAAGTGAACGCACATCTTAATGACACTTGAAAATTGACAACCTAGACCACCTAATCTAACATTTGTTGTTGTATTGTTTACTTTTTTCTTGATTCACGATTTATTTCTGTTGTCTTTGCAAATTGGTTTAATTTTGTTATTAATATGAGTTTGTCAGCTGGATTTATAAAAGCTGATTCAAGTGTTTTACCCATTGTAAACCAAGATATGATTACTGTATTTTTTTAACAATACTCAGTTTATAAGTGCCAAAGTTGAGCATGTTAAGACAGAAAGGTATGTAACATTTTATTTATAATTAGTTTATTTTTCTTATAATATATTAGCGTACACTCATATTCACAAATATAACACTAGAAATTGGGAATATATATCTGTACCTTGAAGCAACAAGGGCCAATCTATAATTTGAGCGAGAGAGCGACATTTAAAGCTGTACTGTTGGTATTATTTTTATAACTAGAAGTAAAAGTATAATTATGTATTACCTGAGAAATAACAAATTTGCTATTGTATAAAACGAGTTTATACATTTTACCTACCTCAAAAATTAGAACTAAATAACATCTAAAACTATTTAGAAGGGTAGTGCACAAGTATTTACTGTAATACTATTTTGATTTGTATAAAAAAAAATTTCTTGGTTTAATCGGTCAAATGTTTTTATTTTCTATTGTTTATCACACTATATATATTTCGGAAAATACAATTTTTCTATCTTCAGGTACAGTTAATTTATAAAAATCATGGGGACGAATACAAACAGTTTAAAATGTTTTTAAAATATAAAATGCCATCTTTCTATTTCACATCTATTTCACATCTTGTAAAAATGTATTCGGTATTATTTGGTCGACGATTACCTACTTGCTATGTCATTGTAAATAATTGTAATTAAAGGTCCTTTTTGTGTATGAATGACTACTTTTTCTAAATATACAAACCCTTTCTGTTACAACTATTACATACATATCTAGTATTTACATGAATAACTCTACGATAATATTGCTAAATTAAAATAATAAAAACACAATAGTATATTATGCGCCAAGGTAGAGAAGTGAGTTATTTTGTCTCGGATCCATTAAAGACCTCGAAGCTCTCTACCGTGGCTCATATACTATTTTTTCACTACTAGCATTTTAATTAAAAAAAAATAATTAAGTTTTTAAAACTAATAAAAACGATTTCAAACTTTTTTCAAATCAAATCATCCATGCTTGTGACAATTAAATGTAAAACACAAACGTCAGTGCAACAAGTTACCCATTTATTTATCGATTTATTTTTATTTTGATTTGAAAACTCTTTTATATATTTATGAAAATGTGGAATGAAATCTGAAAGTGAATTGGTTTTATTTGAATAGTGGATATGACCATTAAATAAGTAAGTAATAGTACATTATATACCTAGGGTGAGAAGTGAGCTATTATTTACCGAGCACTTTTATATCCTGAGGCGCGTAGCGCCGAAGGATATAATGTGCGAGGTAAATAATAGCTTTCTCAGCCGAGGTATATATAGAATTTTTTTTACTACTAACATTAATGTATTAGCAATTTTAATTTTGACATAAGTAATTTCCTAACAATTTGTTAAATATTTCGAAATATCAAGCAGACTGGAGCGTGTTTCTAATCAGACTGGCTTTATTTATGTAAAAATTTGGCATGTGTCAAATTTTGGTATGATTCTAGGAAATATCCCATTGCATTTTTGATATTTTAATGACATGGATTTATTGGTATTAATTAATAATTTTTAAAGCCGGTGTTGAATTTCCTAGTTAATATATATTTTTACTGTTTACACTGATATATATTATCATATTTGATTTGATTAGATTTGATAAACCCAGCTTTAATTATTTCCTACTTATTTTTCAAATATTTCAAAATATCAAGTAGTCTGGGAGTTTAGTTGTCAAATTAACAAAATGAAACTAATGAAATTTAGTTTCATTATTTACCTAGGTTTTTTTTTATTATCATTATTTACCTAGGGTGAGAAATATTACTTCTCATTAGAGGAATGGAGTAAATAATGGTGCTTTCTCATGTTAGTAGTAAAAAAAATATTTTTACATTTTGTATTTGCATTTGAGCATTTCAGTTAACTTTAAAAACTGTCAAAATATGAACTGATATCATTTACATAAAATACAGTAGATATATAGTTATCAGGTAGGCTCTGTAATTCTCTCC